GATTTTGCTGTTGTTTTTCCTCACCTCTTGTACTTGTCAGATTTCCCTAAGAACCACCTTCTAAACTCTTAAGTGGAGAGCATGTGCCTGGCTACACTGTTCTGAAAGCAGAGTGGAGCAAGGAGAGGAGAGATGGGGAAAGAAAGTAGGTCACAATAATAACTACTTAACTTTCACTTAACTCTCTCATAATGTGTACCCTTTCAACTGGGCCTCATAAACCCTCAAGTACAGAATCCCTCTGTCCCCTTCCTCCAGAGAATAAACTTTTAGTATTGTGAGGTTCAGGAATGTCACTCAGCAAAAAGGGGGAAGAAATTTCTGCTTCTGAACAGATTATTAACCAGTTCTCATGTTTTCAGCTAAATTTCTCATACCCATTTCCAGAAGTATCTGGCAAGCTAATAATGCAGCCTTCAGGAGATCCACAGTTTAAACTGGGCTGCCTTTGACGTCCTCTATCAGTGGCTAAAAATACAGTTATTTGTAGATAGGTAAGTCAATCTCTTTCTGTTTTCCAGTTTCTAAAATAACTTTGTTGCTATTTTCCCCTTTCCCTGTCTTTTCCATCTTTATCAATTATGCTCTGAAAGAAAAAAATCACTTCTTCATTGCTTCTTTGGGATTTCAGAAAGCAAATACATGTGTTCAACCCACCAAGTTTATTCAGGTATCTTTTATTTTTAAAAGATGACAAGTCCTCTTGAAACTGTGTGTTAGATTTGAAAATACAATCCCCAAGAGTATCTACTAATTTCAGGCAACATAAATTTAAATATATTATTTCCATTGGCAACTGTTAAAGATGCTCATAATCTAAAGGGTAAACTAGACCCAATTCACAGATAACTATGAGCAAACAGGGAAAGAAAAAAATATTTTGACAAACAGAACCAGGAAAGTCTCACTGGAGGAGGTGATGTGAACATCATTTTAAAGGATGAGCTAAACTTCCACAGATATATAAAAAAGAACTATAAAATTCAAGACAGCATAAGCAAAAACAAAGAAAAACATCCGTTTCACTGGATGTTTTTGCTCCTTTCTTCCCTCAACAATGATATAACTCAAGGTCACATCTTTGAATCCAGCAAGCCCCAAGTAAACACATCTATTCCCTCAATAAGCACTGAAAATGACTCCTAAATCTGTTTTTCTATCCATTTTCCAGGGCCAAATACTTACTTTACTACTACAGTGCTCCATGTAACCACATCAAAAAATCCCATTATCAGTAAGCTGCCCTCCTTATCCACCTCCAAAACCGCTTTTGTATTCTGCATCTTCATAAAGATATTACTATGCATTGAGTAAATGCACCAGCAAGTAATTCCCAGATCAAGTTTGATTATTCCTACTTTCTCCCTTAATGCCAGTTTACAATTCATACTGAATATATACCTTTCAATGAGAAGCTAAAATGAATGCTCAGTGATTTCAGGATTTACACAGCCATTTTGTCACCAGGTGGAGTTGTAATATAATCGGAAGGCAAAATAAGTAGAGACCAAAACTAATCTATACTACTAATTTCTCATCATTCATCTACTAGAATAGACATTAAGAAGGCATTAACTTTTTTATTATAGAATTGTATGGCTTATGATTAAGGGATAATTACAAAGTTAAATTACGCCAGCTAAAAGGTATTATTACACACACAAGCACAGGGTGAGTAGTTCTTAAATTTAAAATTTCGCTTGCTTAGTCATAAGATTACATTTTTTAAAGGTTTATTCAAGCCAATTTTATGTAAACAATTTTCCTGAAGCCTGTCGGCATACTACAAAACCAGAGTAATAGAGGTGATCATATGCACAAGCTATTTTTAGCACTGGTCTGAAATATAGGAAAGTCACAAGCTATATCTACTAATGATCCCATGGAAATTATCATCTCAAGAGTTTGCTTGATTACAAATACAGAGCAGAATAGACCAGGAGTAGTCAGACATGGCAAAAAGAAATATCCAGATTCCAATCATCCGGAAGATTCTTGCTTTGCATGATCTTGTTGATACATAAACCAACAAATTACTTTGAAGTCATTTATTATACAGTGGTTTTCATAAAGTATTACTGCTGTAGATTTCAAAGCATTTAAGAGTTGTGGACATTTTATCCCTCTCTGTAAACATGTACTACTACATTGCTATGCATAACCACCTCCTTATGTCCCATGGTACAGAATGCCACCTAGTCATTCATCCTATAAACACATTCCCTCTTTTGGAAAAAGTGAAAATGATGATAAATAAATACAAATTTAGCACTAGTACAAACATAAAAATTATGACAATATTCATTTCCTAACCCAAATTACCTTCTGGGTTGCTCTATTACCTAACATTTTAGTAAGGAAAGAAAAACGTATGGGAAGAGGAACACAATGCCTGTCTCTAAATGGAGGGTAGGTGTGGAAAAGGAATGAAGTATGAATCAGTAAAAATTTGCTTTTCTGGTTACAAGACCGACAACTGGGTAACACTAATTTGAAGCATATAAATTTCTCTTCATCTCTACTGGAATGGCCAAGTCGTTGAGGGGGAAAAAAAGGATATAAATATCATCCCATTGTAATGAGTTTTAAGGACAATCAAAATTGTTACACGTTATCTAAAATATTAACCCATTGTAAACTTTACAACAGAGGTACACTATTCTTAAGGCATAGTTCATAAATAAAATCTGAGTGCCAACAACATGCCAAGCATTGCAATACACAAGAAGAAAGTGCCTGGGCTAAAAGTGCTCAAAATCTCATGGAAAGACAAATGGGTAAAAAACTAAAATACAATGTACTAAAAAATATATAACAGAGGCCTGTATGAATACAGTGAGAACACAGAGGGTGTGACATTATGAAATATATATTTGGTCTTTCTTCTTGCTTCCTAAGGTAACTCCTAAAATCCTTAGACTCTCCAAGTGCTGTCTTTTGGTATGCAAATGACAGCTTCAGGGTAGGGCAGATAACCAAAAAGACAGAGGCAGGATTACAGGGTTGGGACTTTCAGCCCCACCCCACAACTTCTAGGGGTGGGAGAAGCTGAAGGTCAAGTTGATCACCAACTGCCAAAGGTTTAATCAATCATGCCTACGTAAGGAAGCTTCTGTAAAAACTCAAGAGGACACAGTTCAGAGAGCTTCCAGATACCTGAACACGTCGAGGTTCCTAGGAGATAGTACACCCAGGGAGGGCATGGAAGCTCCAAAACCCTTACCCATACCTCACCCTATGCATCTCTTCATCTGTATCCTTCGTATCCTAGAGCCCTCCACAATAAACCAGTAAACACAGTAAGTGTTTCCCAGAGTTCTGTAAGTCACTCCAGCAAATCAGCTGAAACCAAAAAGAGAGTCGTGGGAATCCCAACTTAAAGCCAGTAGATCAGAAGTTCTGGAAACCCAGACTTGGAACTGGTGTTTGGGGAGCAAGAGCAGTCTTGGGGACTGAGCCCTCAACCTGTGGGATCTGGCATTACCTCCAGGTAGATAGTAGAGGCTGGAGTTTGTTTTCCACACACACTACCACAAACACTCCTTCAAGGGCAGTTTAATTAGAGGGCACCCAGCTGGTGTGTGTGGAAAAAGAGAAGTTGATCACTCAAGTCTTCTGTGCTGATGACTGTTGTGGTGGTGTGAGAACACGGGAAAAATACAGACTGAAAGTTTTTCCAAAACAGGGAGAATATCTAAGGCCTGCCTGGTGTTCAGAGTAGACTGTGTGTAAAAAGTAAAGTAGAGGTTCCTCTTCAAAGACTTTCCTCTCCATCTAATTAGGAATAAATAGTAACTTCTTTTAGAAGCAAAATTTATTCAAAGACCTGTGCTAACATTCTTAAATATCTGCTAGCCGTAACAAAGAAACAAATGTACTTTATGTTCTTAGCTCCCATAATTTAGCCTAGATATTTGCCCTGGCATGCTTATACTGGTCCAAGGAAGCAATAGGTCATAGACTGTTCTTCTTCCTTATTTGAAGGTGTTTTTACCTTTCTCAGCATTCCACAAGTTACTTCCTCCTTTCTTTGTTCTCCTCTGCCTTTGCTTCTTTTAAAAAGTTCTAAGTTGCTAGGCAATTGGGACAAATACAGAATGTGAGGTCCCGTTCCAGTCAACAGAAACCGGACACGGCAGTAGGGTGGACGCGTCACGTTATAAATGACCCTGTCCCCTTTGTTGGGTGTACTCTCACGGCTGGCGAGTGCACCCTTTCTGCAGAAAGTAAAAATGGCCTTGCTGAGGAAATAAAATTTATGTTCAAGTGCTATTTCTTTACAGCACCGGGGAACAAGCATTTCTAGCATGTGTAATGGAAGTGATGATCTCTCAGACAAAAGAGTAAAGAGGAGAGGTGATGAAAAAGGTGATTCACTGTTAACACTGAAATAGCCTTTGTAAAAATTATGAGAGAAACCTGACATAGCTGACTCTGTCTTGCTTCTAACCTCACAAGCTGTCTTTGCTCATTCCTGGTGCAGGCCAAGCAACTATGGGACAAATCTAGTTTACAGTTTAAAATAAAGATGGTAACTATCCCTTCCTGAAACAAACCTCTCCTTGCTCACCCACTGCCCGCCAAACTGTTCTTCAAAAACTCTAGTCCCTGAATTCTCAGGGAGGAAGATTTGAGAAACAGCTCTCATCCTTCCACTCGGCTGACCTCATGATAATTAAACTCCTTCTCTGCTGTTCTCACTGCGTTGGCTTTTCTGGGCAGCAAGAAGAACCCGTTAGGCTGTAACATCACAGCTCGAATGTAAGACAGGATACATATTCTGAGTCTAAATAGTAATATACAGGAAATGGCCAAGTTGTACAGTATTGTTTTTTAGTGTAGTATATATTTATAGAGGAGAGCCTAAAACACTGTAAGTCTCTGCAGTAAAACATTCCAAGGTATACGACTGACTTGAAAAAAACTTTAGTACAAGCTAAACACTAAATACTTTGATGGAAACGAAGAAAAGAAAGAGTAGAAGCAAACTGAACAATTACCTCCTTTTGTAGTATCATTCTGGGCCTGGATGCCATGATGCAATGAATTATGAATGGCAGAAAGAAGATCTGCTGCTTGAACCATCAATTTTTGAGCTTCTGCAACAGCACTGGTCTAGCAAATAAATCACCAAAAACATTCTTACATATTCTTTCACTGAAAGATATACATTAAATAGGAAAATCCTATAAACAATAATGAAATTAAATGCTTGCTGTAATGACATTGGTTTTCATAAACTATGTACTTAATACAGGATGTCCAGATCCTGTTAGGATAGAAAATGGTTTTTTTACTCACATCTATAAAACTTGTAGGATCAATTGTAACAATAGAAAATATTTTTGGTTTACCTTTTTTTTTTTTAAATAATAAAAACCAAAGATGCAATCAACTAGAAAATGAGAAAATTTTTAACAATTCCATGTCATTCATCAAGGTAGGGGGGAAAAAAAACCCGGGAAGAAATAGAATTACAGAAGTTAAATTAATGGTAAAAATTGGATCCCTACTCACCACTTATAAACCATTCACAAATTAATCTGTAATTGGCTTGAATTAGTGCAAAAATACAAAAAAGAAAAAATATTCACCATCTAAGGCTTGCTTTTGGTTCTATACAAATTTAACAATTAATTATGTAACTGAAGGTAAGAACAGTCCTAAAATTTTTACTTTCTCCTTTTCAATTCACAAAATACGACAACCTACAAGCAATTTCAGCTTCTAATGTATTATTTACAAATAAGTAAAAAAATATACTTCTTGAGAAGGTCTTCAGGGTTACTCTGGTATAAATACACCAAATGCTGAGTTCTCTACATCTGAGATCAGGAGCACTTCAAGGGAAAACTTTCAGAACTGCATCACTCAGGCATTCCATCCCAAATCACTAAAACAGACAGACATATGATATCGAATGCCCTTACCTCTTTCTTAGTAAAGGCTATAAGCACTGTCAGTAACACACGAGTAAATTTCACTCTGCTGAATACTGCTAAACATTGTTGGTGCTAAAAAAACAAGAAAGGACTAGAAGTTAAAAGATGCAAAGTCCATGAAAGGAATTTCATTTAAAATATATTAACTCCTAAGTCTCAATGTTAGTAACGTACTACATTACAGACACCTTCGCTTATAGGCTTTTAAAAGCCTGAAAAATGAGCTGCAGAAAACAAAACAAAGCCTATTCTTTTGAAATAGGAATGTGAAGCTTCTATATCAACAGGACTGATCTTGTCCTAAGTCAAAAGTTACACTATTACCTCAAAAAGCTGATTTTATCTGCATTTTAAAAAGACTGATTAAAATGTGCTTTAAGCAGAGTCAGAAAATTTAGAATCTCGACAAAGGTTCAGCAACTTTTGACACTGTGGAGCTCTGACGCATCATCTGTGAAAGATCATATTTTTCTTCCTACCTCACAGGAATACTGAAGAGTTTTGAAATCATCTATTTGAAAGAGCTGTATTATCATTCTATCAAAATAAATACAAGGGAAATAAAATCCCTTGCAATGTCCAATTTTTAAAGAAATACCTTAAAAAGGGCTTCCATAAATTATAACGCAGTTCATAAAACTACAACATTAACAGGTAGACTTCTCTGATATTATCTACCAGAAAATAAGTTCAATTACTTCTAGTTCAACTTCTGGATCTCTTTCTTCTCCTTGTCGACTTCGAGTACTCTAAAATTTTAAAAAAGGTGAATTAAACACAAACCTGAAAAAATATTACATTACAAATATATAAGGTAAAACACTAATTTTTTGAGTATACACAACAATCTGTTTTTGGGAAAAATTGTTGGAGAAAAAAAGCTGTGTCTAGTATTTACATTCCTCCTATTAATTCTATATACAGAAAGGTCATTTTGACATAAATTATAAAGATCATGCAAAAGAATTAAGTATTGAAACAGCAAAAGCAAAACAATGAAATAACATAAGCAGAAGTATATGACATACAGTACATTTTCCTTTAAAAGGAGCTATTATTGAAATTCCTGATGCTCTCAAAACTAACCCTGTTAGAAAAAAACTGTAACCTTTACAAAAATCACATCATGAAAAAATAAAGTTCAATGGTCAATACTGATTTGTTTTACACTAAAATACAAAATATCTTAATACAAATGTTATAGTGGACAATTTTATTTGACCAAATACCAGGGCGGTACTACAGGAAGATCTACTAGAAGTTGTGGGTTCTAGCCCTAAAGCTGCCATTTACGTGCCCTTTAGTAAAGCTAAGACACAGGTTACTTAACTCCTTTGATCTGTATTTTCATCTAAAAGTGGAGCACTATGTGTGTCAAATTGCCCAATTCACTGAATTGCAAAAATCAAAAAAAGAGAATATGAAGTTTGACAACCATATTGTCATACTAGCATTAAGAATAAAAGTAGAAATACAACTTTTCCCCCTTTTTAATCTCTATGAAAAGCAGCAAATCATCAAGGTCATCTAGAAGGTTTTCACCAGATTTGGCATATTACCATTTACTGAGCTCACCTACTGTGTTCCAGACACTGTACCAGCTATTAAAGATACAAAGGTGAATAAGACAGTCCTTACCTTTGAGGAACTCAAAACAGTAGTGGGAGAAAAATACTATTCTTTTTGTTTTTTTTTTTCTGAAAAATACTATTCTTAAAATAGCATAGTAAAAAACTCTAAAACACGGCAAAAAGTTGGAAAAGAATCAAGTGGGTTAAATTTTTAATATACTCATCTCTTTATCCATGGTTAGATTCAACCAACCACTGATTAAAAGTAACCAGAAAAAAAAATTTTAAAATAGCATTTAAAAATATAAATTTTAAAAGTACAACTATTTACATAGCATTTACATCATATTAAATATTATAAGTAATCTAGTGATGATTTAAAGTATACAGAAGGACATAAACAGGTTATATGCAAATATCACACCATTTTACACATAAGAATTTGCGCATCCTTGAGATTTTAGCATCCACGGGAGTCCCTGGAACCAATGCTCTGATAATACTGAGGGATGGCTATACTTGAAAATGACATTCATTTATCAGAAACTCCTCTAGCAGTGTTCAAATTCATTACAAAAAAAAAAAAAAAATACAAAGCACATACAGGAGAAAGGTGGTTCTACATTTGTAATTAGGTAAAGTTAACCTGACATTTAGGAGTGTGCAAAACCCTACATCAAAGAAAACATATATACCTTTACTCTTTAACACATGTCATCCTCCACATCTTTTAGCATGCCTAGAAAAAGAAACAGTAAGTTTTAGGAAACATATGAAATGTAAAACTTGTGAATTATCTTTAAAAATAATTTTACCTGTAACTCGAAGATCTGTCACACTGTTAGCCATTTTAAATCCATAAGTCATAGACTGAAAATCTTCCACCATACAAAAAGGAATAATCAGGCTCATGAATAGCAACAAAACCTTAAATTGTGGCAAAATGTAAACTTTTCTTTATAGTTCTCTACAAAATCACTATTTAATAAAGGAAACAGAAATGGAAGTCATCCTGCTTGTCTAAATATTACTAGGATACAACCAAGCTTTTCTTGAGAGGCATACACATAAAAAAAACACCATATTCTAATGTTGTCTCTGTCCTTACTTTCAATTGCTTGTCCTTAGGCAATTTAATACGTTCATTTGCCATATAAGTGTAATGCTTATGAAAATATCACAAAGTAATAATTCTCACAAAGTATTCTCACATTCACAGGTGAATAGTAAATATACAATAATTACTGTTTAAGGACCAGGCTGCAAGATTTAGATAAGACTACTTAAAAACTTATTAAATGATGGCTTACAGTTAAGATTTCTCAAAGAATTATTCAAAGTGAGAGCAAAACCATGTATTCCACTACAGTCACTGGAAGGAAAAAGACTGAGTCATTCAGACATACAGCCCCCATCCCCAAATCATTTTTAAATGATTTCATTGCTGAGTCATTAACAAATTAAGTGATTTGCTGGACTTCCTTTGAAGAAAATACATTTACTGTCATCTGGCTGATCTGATTAACAAGTCATAAGCCCCATTAAAACAGTGTTTCTGCCACTATAATTCCTATAAAAACATAGATAGGGTTAGGCACGGTGGCTTGTGCCTACAATCCCAGCACTTTGGGAGGCCGAGGCAGGCAGATTACCTGAGGTCAGGAGTTCAAGACCAGCCTGGCCAACATAGTAAACCCCGTCTACAATAAAAATACAAAAAATTAGCTGGGCATGGTGGCGTGTGCCTGTAATCCCAGCTATTTGGGAGGCTGAGGCAGGAAAATCACTCGAACCCGGGAGGTGGAGGCTGCAGTGAGCAGAGATCGTGCTATTGCAATCCAGCCTGGGCAACAGAGTGAGACTCTGCCTCAAATAAAAATGTAGATAGAATCCTAAAATAACAGAATAATGGTTCAAAAGGGGATGGAGCCACAGCACAATTTCTGGATTCTTTAAAAAAAAAAAAAAAAAAACACACACAGTGAGCATCAAATTCAAGTGAGGTACTATATCCCACAAACACTAAAAAAACAAACCCTACGTCCTTGGTCTCAAAGACCTCCAGGATATTTTACTAATCGAGTCCTTAAAAAAATAAAAAGACTCATTACATTACAAAGCTATATAAGCTTATCCTCTAGATGAAGTTTATAGTCTGTCTCTACTTGGACATCAAATAGGATTCTCAAATTTTTCATCTCCAAAAAAGAAGCAGTGCCCTTTCCTAGCGTTTACCATACCACTAAACGGCACTACTATCTACCTAGAGTTGCTCAGGCTGAAAACCTGGCCTCAACTCCTCTTGTTTTTCTGCATCCTGTATCAAATCCATCAGAAAACACTGTAGGCTCTATCTTCAAATTCTAGTCCAACTACTCACCCTTTCACAGCTATCTTTAGTTTAAGTCACCACTGTACTCACTCTTGTAACCACCTCCAGACAACTCCCCCACCCACCACACTAGTCCCTGCTATAATTTATACACCACCAGAAGGCAGAAGGATTGTTTGAAAATAAGTAAGATCATGTCATTTCCTATTCAAAACCTTTCAAGAGTTTTCTACCTCACAGCAAAATCCCAAAACCCACCATGGCCTCTATGGCCCTGCGTCACATGACCAGTTCCCTCGCCAGCCTTATTTCCTATCACTTCACATTCACTGCACTGCAGTCTGGCAGAGTCTTTCTTGTCATTCAAACATACTAAACCTTGTTCCCTCTCCACGGCTCCCACACCAAAATGATTTTCTTCAAAATATTTACAAGGCTTCATCCCTTACTATATTCCAGCCTCTGTTCTAATGTCAAATCCTCAAATAGGGGTTTTCCCTATGCATTCTAAGACAGCACCATCCACCATTTTATATCCCCTTATCCTGCTTTATTTTCTTCTTGGCAGTTATCACCACGTGACATTATATATGTATTTAATTACATATGCATTGACTATCTGTCCCAAGACAGGTATAATCCATGAGTTCACGGCTTTATTTACTATTTTACCTCCAGGACTTAGAGAATAGTGCTAAAATAGACTTCTATTCAATAAATATGTGTTCAACAAACGACTTATTCCAGGGCAGGGTTCATGAACTCAAAAGGCAGGTTATCTTCCTAAATATATCTGGCTGACTACAACATACACTGGGAATGGTGAGACTGGCAAATTAGAGAAAAACATATGCTTCATTTGAAGGGTCCCAGCCACTACTTATCCTGTTGTGGCTATGAATGAATACAGGAGTCAGTGTGGCAGGTCTCCTAATGTTTTAGAAAATCTAGGTTTTCTTTTTCAATGTAAAATCTCCCCCCCACCCTCTTTTTTTTTTTTTTTTTTTTTTTTGAGACAGATCTCACTGTCATCAGGCTTGAGTGCAGTGGCGCAAACTCAGCTCCTGTAACCTCCACCACTCCTGGGCTCAAGCAATCCTCCCACCTCAGCCTCCTAGGTAGCTGGGAATACAGGCATGCACACACACTAGGCTGATTTTTTTTTTTTTTTTTTAGTAGAGATGGGGTCTTGCCATGTTGTCCAGGCTGGTCTCTAACTCCTAAGTTCAAGTAAATCCACCTCTCAGCCTCCCAAAGTGCTAGGATTACAGGCATGAGCCACCACATCAGCCTCATCTTCCTATTACCCAAAAAACCAGACCAGCATAGTAGCAGGAAAAACAACAAAACAAAATATCATAAACCTTATCTGTAAGTTTGCCAGAAGAAGTCTTAGGAAAACTATCTTTCCTGGAAAAATTACCACAGATCCTAGATATATATACACCTCAGTAATAGAATTTAATCTAAGTTACTAGGTAAGTGAGAGCAAGAAAGTCATCATAAAACGGAGCACTACCATTAAAGATCCTCACCAGAGATTTGTGTGCTTGAGGACAGAAGTAAAGTGAAACTGGGAGACCAGACATTGGGCTCTAACCAACAGTCAAGCAAGGGCTGATGGCGGCTTGGATTGGGATTGCAACAGTGGGAGTAAGAAGTTGGTCAAAAAAAAATTAGGATATATTTCAAAGTGGCACTTGCTAACATGATATGCTGATGAACTGAATGTGGATATGAGGAGTAAAGCTGTGCAATCAAGCCTCATTTTTAGTGTTTTGTTCTAAGCAGGTGATGGTACCATTTCCTGGGAAAAGGCAGTGTTGAGAGGAGCAGGGGGTAAAGCGCAGAAATGAAGTACAATTTGGGTATATCAAACATAATTTCTTTGGTCATCCAAGTGGAGATTTCAGATTTCACTTGCTTGAGACTAGAAGTCAGGGAAGGACTCAAGGCTAGAGGTATAAATGTGGACTTCATCAGTGTATAGTTAGTTGATATTGAATGCCACATAAGTAGAGGAAATCAACCTAGGGAGGCGGTTATGGAGGAGGAGAGGAGTCCACAATTACCCCAGCAATTAGAGATGCAAGCACAGGAACTAGACTTACCAGCGAGGCAGAAAGAAATCCAAAAGACTGGTATTAAGAAGACAAAGAGAAAAAAGTATTTCACAGTGTGTCAACTGGGTCTAATGATGCTCAAAGGCTGGAGAGGGGAGGGTGAAACACTGCTTGCTTAGAGATGGGTAAAGACCAGTTCTCCGTAGTGGTGGTAAACGACCATTTGGAGTACATAAAGAGAAAGCGAAAGAAAAAGTAGAATAAGCAAATCATTAAAAGTTTTTCCTGGAAGTAGCTGAATGGATTATGTAGATACAAGGAGCCATGGGATCAACCGAAACTGTGGTGCTTTCAAATGAATGTAAAAGCATGTTTACGTGCCGATTAAATTAAGTGAGTAGTAGAAGAGGAGAGAGCCCACAAGTAAAAAGCAACACAAGTGGAGGAGCTGAGCTTAGACTGTAACAGGAATACTCTCACCTTAACAAGAGAGAAGACAGAGTTTGTGAGTATTAACAAACAGGTTAGCACTTGTGATAGTGACAAAATGAAACCTTTGAGATTAACTTGCAGACCATGATGCCCCTTTACTTCTAAATACTTCAGTATGATTTCTAAACAAAATCTTCCTCTTACATAACCACAGTACAATTACCAAATAAAGAAATTCATGTCTCTAACCTCCTTTGATCTGGAGCATTTTCCTCTGTCCTTAACTTTCGTATCTGACATTTTTAAGTATCTCTTCAAACAGTACTTCAAAATAGAATATTTTGAACAATACTTTGTAATATACATTTTGTAGCACATCCCTCAGTAACCCTGATGTTTCTTCAAGATTACACTTAAGTTATATCATATTTGATAGGAATACCACAGAAGTGATATGTCCTTCCTAGAACACTGTATAAGTAGGCACATGTCAATCTGTCTAATTATGGATAATTCTGGCCACTTGACTAAGGTGCTATCCTTAAGTTTCTCCATGACAAAGCTATCATTTTTCCCTTTGTAATTAATAAGTATCTGGTGGAAAGATGTTTTGGGATAAGTACATATCCTGTGTCTCATTATACTTTTGTCCAGTGGTGCAGCATCCTTTGTCAGAAATAGGTATTCAAAACTGTACTCCTTTAATACTATACAGCAAAGCTCCACTAATATTTTAGATATATATTAGGTCATTAAAATACAGCATTCAAATTATTTTCACCTATGGCCACTAGAACACTAAATCAAACTACACATGTGGCTTACATTTCCATTGTATAGTTCTGGTTTACAGAAAGAGATGACAGACAAGAACCACCAGTGAGGTAGCAAACCAGGGAAGAAAAGCATCTTAAAAGCCAAGCAAAGAATGTATTTTGAGGATACAGTGATGACTATGTCAAAATCTGCTGGTAATTCAAGTTTAAGACCAAATCTAACCACTGGTTTAACACTGGGGTCTTTAATGACTGTGACATGGTAGTTTTAGTAGAAGG